AATTAATGTTTTTGTTTTATTTTTAATGTTTTATTCTTATGCCAATTACAAATCATGAGTAAATTTTAAATTTCCAATTACAGTCAAAATAAAACTATTACAAAACATAATATTAAACACCTAGAGTGACATAGTTGAAATAAAGCCAATAAACTAATAAATGAAGTTAACATTAAATTGACGTAAAATTTAGTAAACAGATGAAGGGCAACATCTCTTATTTCTGATGAATTGTTTATATTTATGTCCAGTAGCAAATATTTTAATCAGTTAAGGACTGTGTTTGAACTGTATTAGAAAAAAATATTAAAATATATTTAATATGAAATTTCTGTATACATAATGTCTAACCATAAAAAAGAAATTTTAAATTTAAGAATAAAAACATGTAAAATTTGTTTTTTTTAAATGTACATGCATATGATAGCATCAAATCTGGATTTTGGATTTGAAAAATGAAAAATTACATTATTTTTCTAAACCTTTAGATTTATTTAGAATGAAAAACATAAACACACATGTGAATTATCATGTTTATTTTCAAAACTCACATTGTCAGCTAAATATGAAGTACTAGCAGAAATTACTAGTGTTGAGTAAGTAACCTTTTTTATACGCCCGCTTACGGGATGTATTATGGAATACCGTTGTCTGTCCATTGTCAACATGTCGGACAATAACTCAAAAAAAGGCTTTAACCAATCTGCATGAAACTTTGGTGAATTGTTTATATCTATTGACGTGAGCTCTCTTTCATTTTTTATAAATTATAGATTTTAGGTTTCTGAGTTATGGGGTTTTATTCATTAAAAAAGGGGGATTTTCCAGTTTTCGGACTATAACTCAAAAATACTTTCACCAATTTGCAAGAAACTTTGGTGAATTGTTTATATCTATTGACATGAGCTCCCTTTCAATTTTTATAAATTTTAGATTTTACGTTTCCGAGTTATGGGGTTTTATTCATTAAAAAAAGGGGGATTTTCCAGTTTTTGGACAATAACTCAAAAATGCTTTCAGCAGTTTTCATGAAAGTTTGGTGAATTGTTTATATCTATTGACATAAGCTCCCTTTCGATTTTTATAAATTTTAGATATTACTTTTCTGAGTTTTTATTCATAAAAAGGGGGTGATTTTCCAGTTTTCGAACCTCCCTTTAGTTTTTTTATAAATTTCTGAAATGACATTGAGAAGTTATTTAACTTTATTCTTTAAAAAAGCGACAGGCGTATCATGCGCTCATGGTACAGCTGTTTATTGCTATGTTCAATTGCCTTTTTTCAATTGTCATGGACAACATTTTGCTAGTCTTGGACGATTGTTCTTTGAATATCTTGGTTGCTTTTTGAACCAATCTTGTTTCCTCTAAGTATGTTGTGTATTGTTTGGATATAGTGTTGGTTTTTAGAAGAACTAACTTAATTGGGAAATGGAATTGAATCAAATGACAGTTAGGGCATTCACAATTTTTGTTCTTTGCCAAACTTCTCCCCAGATAATCCAAACCAAATAATGAAAAGTGTAGATCTGATCACTGTACATGCTAGCTTCAGGACACAAGAGTCTTTGACTTACTGATTAATGGAGAAGCAATACGCAAAAGACAAGTTATTTTCATGCATTTTTTAAGAAGAAAGGGCAGTAATTCTGCATTCTGTGTCAAATATAACTTGTGCAATAAGTATATAAGAAGGCATTAACATAAATAACATGTTGATGTTGGATTTATTCACTAAATGTTAATGCATAATTTCTGTGTAACCCTCTGGGCACTTTTTTTTGCAACACCTGTTTAACATTTTAAAATCATTTAGGTATTCCACTATCTCCTCTTACATGATGATGCAACAGATACAAATAAAGAAAATGTAAACAAGCACTGAAAAACATAAACAAATCCTTTGAAATTTTGGTATGAAGTCTTGTTAACTTATTCTATAAGTTCAATGATATTCTTACTTTTTTAACACATTCACATGGATATATTTAAAAATAAATCAATATGCCCTTGAATGACATTGAAAACTGTTGGAATGCTTGTAATTATTGATTTGATTGCCAGGCTTTGGGTGGTTTCCAGAAATTCTCCAATTATCGATTTAAAGGTGGTCAATTAGTTTATAGAAAGATGGGAATGTAATCTAGATATTACGTCATATGCCCTTTTATGGCTTCAAGTCGCATGGAAACTGATTTTAATTAAATTCCAAAAGTTGCATGTAACTAGGATGTTCTGGATTGGCAAAGTTAACATATAATTTAAGAAAATTTTGTTTGTGTTTATTTGTAAACATTCAATCCAAATAGCTATTTCACTTGCTTGAGCTATAAGTAAATTTTTTGTTGTTTTAAAGTTAGATTGACCTTTAAGTCAAGCATTGGTCATTTTGTGTTTATATTGACAAAACACCAGTGGTCACTTCTCAGTATTAACTGGATATATTTGGAAAGTCTGTTTATTTACTTACTGGTCACTTCTCTGGATTGTTTGTGTTTTATTTATAGAATCTGTTTACTTATTATACTGATCATTGCTGTGGATTATTTAAGTTTTATTTATAGTTTAAAAAGAATTGGTTACCTCCAGGCTGTAGGTGATATTCTGAAAACCTTGTTTTTGTTTATATGAATAGATGGATATTGGTCAACATAGGATTGAATCATTTATTTTTGTTTACACATTTATAACAGGATACCAACCATTATATATATATTTGATTTGTAATTGAGGGGAACTAGTTATATGTAGAAGTCATCACCTACTAGCTTCTAAGAGCACACAGGAAACATAAAAATAGTATTTTATGTGTTATGACTGATTGGTAGTGGCCTTCTTGAACTGGATTCAATTAACATCAATAAGAGAGCAACCTTTTTGCACACTTTATTATTGTGTACATACATTTTTGTGTAATATTTAATATTTGAAGAAAGTTACTTCAAGTATGCTGTAAATTCATTAATCTGTGACGTCAAAGTGTGTGAATTTGTCTACATATTTATTCTATTTTATTATTCATAAGGGGAATATTTACGTGAGAGTATTGATTGTTTGTTGTGAAATCCATTTCATTCATAGTAATCTATTTCCTTTTGTGAAATCTACATTATGAATATGATTGATAAAGAAAATGTACCTGTGCGAATTACTAAAACTTATAGTGGTCGAAGAAAGAGTAAAAAGTTGGCTAGTGATGGGACACCATTAACAGTAAGTCAAGTCAAATATTTACATCAAGGTCAACATTTAACCTGGAATATAAGTGTGATCTAGAAAAAATGGGATAGTTTTATTGCTTGTTTTTGTTTGTAAAACTTTGAACAAATGTTCATTTTATAATATTGGTTTGTATAGGATAGGCTAAAGTTGAATTTTATTTGAGAAATTATGATTGGATGGTTTGGTGTGAAAAAAGGGGTAAAAAATTGTCTCTCTAGTTGAATAGAATGAAATAACCCTATGCAAATTATTCTGAATTGAAAGTAGAGAAGTAAGAATATTAGAATACTTAAGAAAGGGGATGGTATGAAAAGATTAGGGAGGAAGATGGTGTAACCCACAGCAAACAATTTTAATACTGTAAATATCCAAATATTCATTTGCATTCATTCTAAAAACTTGGCAAAAAATTCTGTAATGCATGCAAGGTTAAAGTAAAGGGAGTAAGGAACGTTTTTTAAAGAATTAGAGAACAAGGGATTCATTGTAAGGGAGATGGAAGCGATGGGAAGGGAGGAAACAAACATGGAAGGAGTGAAAAGGAAGAGAAAGTACAAGGCTATGAATAAGTAGAAACACATGAGGGAAAGAGGGGAAAGTTACTCCCATCTGTATTATATGTTGTTGAAGAGGATATGAAGTAGACTTTGAGTTCAGGAAACTCTTAACAGAGGATTAGGAGGTAGGATTGGCAACATGAAATTAAGAGATGTGACAAAAACATATACATGTCCTGCATATACATGTCATATAAGGATATGGGATGATCTTACAAGAAATACTAAGAGAATGATTGTACTTGACATATATCAACCCATGAATTACAAGTAAACACAGATTTCCCTGAACAAACTTGTTTTATGTTAGACCCACATGCTTACATGTGTTTGAGGAATTCCTGTAGGCTTTAGCTTATGTCTTACCTGTAGACCTACAATACCTGTAATTCTGGTTTATGTCAGAAATGTTGGACAATTGTCTACCAGAAATACACATGTATTGCATGTATTAGGAAAGCTAAATACATGCAGTGCAGTCATGTACAATACAGTTGGATGAGTAGATTTTAATCCACACAAAGCCCTGTAAAGGTTTGCTTGACTTAAATCATGATCAATAAGATCAAGGTTGTCTTTTAATTTAAAAATACAGATGCATGCACTGCATAAACCTCAGAATGCTTTTCTAACAGCACAAATGCAAAGCTAATTTGATGTTTTGTCAGAATTTATTATTCCAATGAAAGAGGTATGGAATTTTTTGGTTGTATTTGGAAAGCTGCTTTGAATTGCAATGGATTCATATCTAAAGGGAGTTGGTGAATTAATGTTCATATTCAAAGTAGACAAGGCTTTATTTTACCTCTGTGTTATGATGAAAATATAGATGACCAAGAATTTATTATAATTGATTGGTCATCTTATTTCCGGAACTGTCTTGGAAATTTTACCGTTCAGTTGCATCAGACAGGATGAAGAAGTTGGACATAAAACTAAGATGGGTAACCAGTTAGCAAGTGATTCGGTGAGGACGGCTATATCTATGAATTATTTTAAGATTTGTTTTAGAATACAAATGTTCTAGTAATGCGCTTTCTACATATTATTTTTGTTGAGATAACACTGTTGTGGACAATTTAAGCTGGAAGAATTACAGTTGCTTATTTGTCAATGATTATCTTCATATTTTCAAGGAATGACTAATATTTCAAGAATACAGTGTTGGAAAGCAAAGGAATAAAAAGTGTTTTGCATTAAATGTTTTTGTTTTGTGTTTCAGGTTGAAAATGTTGTCAAACCATTTATCTTGTCAGATGACGACTATCAAAAAATTATGGATGTTATGTTGGACAGCTTTAACCAAGGATTGGGAAAAGAGACAAATGCTAAAGCTGCTGTGAAAATGTTTCCCACATACGTCAGATCAGTACCTGACGGAACAGGTTAGTAGTTAAATGTTAAGTTGTAGAGACTGAGTACCACTTTCTGCATGTATGTATATTTTGTAAAAAATTTATACAAAAAAAGATTACCAGTATGTCATGCTGGTTATACCCCCGCTTTAAAAAGGTGGGGGTATACTGTTTTACCTCTGTCTGTCCATCCATCTGTCAGTCCATCCGTCCATCCATCAGTCCGTCCATCCGTCCCATGAATATTTTTCGTCGCATTTTTCTCAGGAACTATATCATAAGGATTTCTGAAATTTGGTTTCAGGGTTTATATAAGTCAGCTATACCATGTGATGTGTTTTCAGATTCATCACTCAACAACTTTCTGTTTACCTAAATATTTGGGTGGGGGGTATCATCAGTGAGCAGTAGCTCACTGTTTCACTTGTTTGTTTTAAACTAAGGTCACATTTTAGTAGACATTTTCATTTGGTGTCTGCTGTTTTGCTATTGTAAATGATAATCTTTTTTTTATTTTTTCAAATCCTTTTCATGAAAGAGCTCTGCAATGTCTGCATAGATACATGAATAAACAGGTTAATCTCATGACGTTTTAACAGTCAATTTCAAAATAGCTCTGTTTTAACATATTATTACAATAAAGGAATATATTTTGTTAGTATACTTTACAGTTGATATCTAGATTGGATACTGGTATTCTTATTATACTATTCTTGTACATTGTACATGATAATTATGGGTTTTTTTTTTTGCAGAAACTGGTAAAGTATTAGCCTTAGATTTGGGAGGAACTAACTTTCGTATTCTACTCATTTCACTGGACGGTCAGGAGGTCAACATGGAGAGTAAAATCTATATCATCCCACAAACAATCATGACTGGAACAGGGATACAGGTAAGAGTACCAGATACAACTTTCATTTGGTTTTAGCTGTTAGGTACAATAGAAAATACAAACAAAAGATATACGGTAAATGAACTACCAAAAATATTGGACAGATCTCTCCAACCACCAATACCTTACTCCTCTGAGAAACTAAACATACAAAGTCAAACAAGAACAAACAACACTTGATTCCAAAATGTCAAATTTGAAGCAGTGATGGGGTTAAACTGGTTGATTACTCATTTGATAAATTTGTACATGCTTGGATGCTTCATGTCCTACATAACCTTGAAATAACACCAGAAAAGTCTCGACCTTTTCTTCTGATAGCTAATCCTGTTGAACAGGTTCATGTACAAATATAGATGTGTGGTACAATGAAATACCCATTGTTGTGAAATACCTGTCATTGAAGTAAAATAAATCAAAGCTTTTGTCATGTACATGTGGACAAAGCCAGAAATGAAGTGTCAACAATGTTTTATGTATTTGTATTAAAACTTCACATGGAACATTGCTTTTATTTAGATTTGACTGAAAGGTTCACAATATTTTATAATTTGGTCCAAAATATCCACAATGGTCCAAACAATTCTGAAGTAAAAAAGAGCAACAAAAGTAAGGAAAATTTATTTATATTTTAATAAAATCATTATCTCTACAAATGTAAGTGAAATGAACTGTGTTGTACTAATGTAAACAATTAATTAAATCATATAAAGAGAGACCACTGTGAAAGTACTAAGTCATCTATGTTTCTTCACACTTAACTATAAGAATAGAAGAATAAGAATATTTATTATTCCAATCAAGGGCCCTTGATGGGCAGCATAACATGTACACATAAAACAATACATCATGATTTGTAACAGAAAAACATATTTATATTTTAAAATGAAACATTAAAGAGTTCAGACAGATGTTATTATCTTCATTCTATAAAAAAATCACATACATTTAGTTCCAGGCAGGATCAGAACTATAAAATCATTACAATTATCATTGTTATTACATACATTAATTAACATTTCGTCTAACATCTAGACATGTAATAATATAGCTCCCTAAATATTTAAGTATAGACAAATTTTCATTAGTAAATAACCAAACAAATTTTGCCTCATTTGAAAGATATATAAAATTGGGACAGATACAGTTTATCTCCTTGAAAAATATCTCCCTATCATTATTGTATGCTGGACAACTAGTAATAAAATGTTGTTCATCTTCAACCAGATTTAGAGTACATTTCTTACAAAGCCTATACAAAGGATGTTGTTTTAATATATCAAATCATAAATCACAATATGTGTGTAGTCAGATGATACTTATTATAATGCAAGTAAATTAGAAATATGAGTTTTTCTAGTTCGTAAACAGTGAAGATATGTGATGGTGTTTTACCTTGTAGAGAAATAAGGGAGAAAGGTTATTTTTAGTTTCCATGTGTTTCTATTTAGTGGTTTATTTATATTATAGGTTTCTTATAACTGAAGTTTTCTAAACTAGATAAGTGCCAAGTGCCTGAAAAATCCTCTAGAATATAATGGGTAAGGGGTAATTGGGTCTGATTAGAGTTGATTTGGATGCGGGTAAATGTCAGAATGCAAATTTTGTAAATGTCTTCCAAGTATAAAATTTTGAATTATTCTGTGATTTGCTCCTGCAAACAAAAATATCTCACCACCTATACTTTTTAAATGAAGAACCTCATAACCCTTCAATTTTGTCATTTCTACGTAGAATAGGCACTAAGAAAAATACTGGTTTTATTTATAAAAAAAACAACATAATGGTTATATATTTTTGTCTTTTTTGCAGTTATTTGACCATATAGCAGAATGTATACATAAGTTCATGAAAGATCATAATTTGTTACACCATAAGATTCCATTAGGATTTACATTTTCTTTCCCATGTCGGCAAGAAGGACTTAATAAAGCCATCTTAACTCATTGGACGAAAGGATTCAAATGTGCCGGAGTGGAAGGGAATGATATTGTAAAGTTGTTACATGAAGCTATAGAAAGAAGAGGGGTAGGTGTAGATTTTTAATATTTCAGGTAGTAGCTACTAGCAATAAGTATCCGTCACCTAAATCTTTTTTTACTATATTTCAATAGCTTTGAAGGCATTTATGGCTGGATTTTAACAAACCCCCGTGTGTTGAAAATACAGAATGGTCTGAAGTTTATTTGTTTATCTGTTTATAATTTTGTCTTCAATTTTTATTTTCTTCTGATGTGAACATTTCCAAATGAATCTAAAATTATGTAATCAATTGGTACCCATGACAACAAATAAATCCACAGTGTATAAAAAATATATTGAACAATAGAATGGGAATGACTTTTTGTTCACCTTATATATATTAAAAGAAGAGTTTAGTTGTCAATACAATAAGTGATTTATTAAATAGTAAGAACATGGGAATAAGTGTTAAAATTTAAAAAGTGTTTTATTAAAAGATTACTTTAACAAAAGGGGGATTTAAACGGCATGTCTAGGAGATAAAACATAATTAATAAAAAGTCCTATATTTTTACATTAGACTTATCCAAGTGAAAGAATAAAATTACTGAAGAAAGTCATTTAGAAATTGAATTTTTATTCAATATTGATTGTGATATTCCTTTTGTAAAATTTTTCTAATTTTCACCAAAAGGCTAAAAAATCCAATAAGCAAAACTTTTAATATTTATTTGAAATTCAGCAACTAAAGTCCACACAAAATATCAAACATGTTGTCTGTTGTGAAACTTTTAGTCCATGTGAATAAGATACTTTAATTTCATAACCTGTTAAAATGTTCTATTGAACTCCAATTTGTGATCATAACTGCCTTTAGAGTTAAATACCTCTAAAATAACATGTTTCCAGAGTTGTGGTCAGAAATTTTCTCAAGCCATTTGTGTTGTGTTGTGGTCAGAAACTTTTTGGATGTCATGTCTCCAGTGTTGTGGTCAGAAAGTTTCTCGGTATACTGGACTATAGTTTGATTTTTCTACATTCGTTTCTGTAATCAGGATCAATTTCTTAGTGTACAACATTCTGCAACAAAATCTTTTCCAACTACTAGTCCGAAGACCAATATTCCAACATTTTTGTTAAGTGTCTAAACAAAGTTTTGCAAATACTTACTAGTCTGAATAAAATTACACTAGTTTGGAGCTGCTGACTAGAATATTACAGTTCTCAAGTTCTTTTATATATTGAACTGACCTTTATGAAACTTGCAGCATTGATAGGGCATTATGTCTTCTTATATAAAAAAACACTTACCTTCTTGAATTGAAGAAATTTGTAATTTTTTGTTAATCGTTCAGTATACTATTGTATGTTTATTATAATTATGAAAACATGCTTAAAATCTTAACTGTTGAATTGAAATAATTTTTCAGTGAATTGATAAAACTTGTAGGTTTTTTTTTTCAGGATTTAGATGTAGAATGTTTAGCTGTGATAAATGATACTGTAGGTGCTTTGATGTCTTGTGCACATGAAGACAGAAAATGTGCTGTGGGTTTAATTTTGGGTAAGTTTTTTTAGAAAGTCTGTATAAGATTCTGAATAAAGGAGATACTGGGTAAAACCTATATAATAGAGTATTCCAACAACATTGCAACCTCCCTAAAAAAATTAGAAAATGAAAGATAACCCTTAAAAATCAAATAGAAAATTGATTGCAGTAAACTTTTGTTACAGAGCATTACTGCCAAGTAAAGTGACTGAAAGTACAGTGCAAAATATTATTTATGATAGAAAAAATCAGAAATAGGATTTCCAAATGAATCTAAAATTATGTAATCAATTAAAAATCTTCACATGATGTACAGCAGTTTTCCTCCAAGGAATTGTTTAATGTGAGTATTTAGATTTAAAGTACAGCTGTCAACAAGGATGTAGACAAACTTTGTTTTCTATTTCCTTGATAGGGATATTGGTTAAGCCAATATGAGATTATATTGGTATATTTTATTATCTGCACAAACAAAAAGAAACACCTCCAAGGTACAAATACTGAAATAATGTGTGTAATGAAATAAACGGAAAATCTATAAATGACTATTTCTAATCACCAGCAACCGAATATATTACGTAATGGAAACACAAAAACAAATGAATTTAGTTTGCTTGAATTTTTGATAACGTGGGAAGATCAATTGAGTACACAAAAATCTACAATAAGTGGGAAATTTAAAAAATTGCTGCTATGATAAAATATAAAAAAAGAGAAGAATTCAGACACTGATTCAGTTACCGCTAAAAACAGACAGAAATGTAATTTATAGGAAAAATAACAGCCAATTTTTGGTCAAAATATGGTCCTCCAAACATCAAATCCTCAATCCATACCTGTTATTGTATTGTGAATGTTATAATCTACTCTGTTTTTAAATTTTGTTGATATATTATAAATAATTTTCTATAGTTTTTGATACTGTAAATTCAGAGTCCATTTATTATTGCTATTGTTGAACTATCGACATACATTTTAAATAAATTATTGAGATTTCAGAAAATGTTGCATACAAAAAATGCTACTGAAATTTATTTTTTCCAATCACTTTCTGTTGCAATTTACACAATAATAAAAACATTGCAATATTTCTGAATTTACAGTGATTTAATCCTTGTGATTTATCAAATATTTTTCACTGATGTGAGGTATAACAATTACCAATGTTTAAACTTGTGTGACGGCTATATGAAAGGTTTAAACAGACTTTATATACATTACAGTAAGGATTTTTATACAACCACAAAAATTTTTGCATTTATATTATGCTATGGTGATGTCTGCATCAGCATCCGAAGACATTTTAGCTTGTAGACAATAACTTGAGTATAAGTGTATGGATCTCTATTAAATTTTAGCACAAGGTTTCATACTTCAAAAGGAAAGTTGGGATTGATTTTGGGGTTCATGGCCCAAACTGTTTAATACTAAGGGTCCAAAAAGGGGTAAAAAGCAGTATTGTACAATTGATTGAAATTATAAGTTGAGTTATAGTTAAAAATAGATATATTATCATTTTCTAATTTTAGAAATTATGTATAAATATAGATTGAAATTTACTGTTCATTATTAATTTTGAAAAGAAGTAAGTTTTATAGATTTTTTAAAGGCACTATATTAATGATGAATGATGTTTTGGAAATTGTTTTCATTTTTTATTTTGTACATTTTTTGCAGAACTCTGTGGTAGGTTTGTTTGTTATATTCTAATTTATCAAGCTCAAACGAATATAAATTATTTAATAAATAAAACAACACATAAATAGGATAAGTGTGCTAATAGGTGAAGCAGCCTTTAATATTAATTACATTCATTATTCATCAAACTAAAGTCCTTCATTATAAATTCAGGCAAGCACTACCAATCCAATCATATACATTTGTATTAATAGAATACACAATCAAAATCTTATCTACAAAAGAGGAAAAATACATATTAATATAATTTAATTTATTTATTATTTATTTACCCACATTAACAATAATCCACTCAAAAAGGTGGGTGGGTGGGTAAACATGATAATGAACTGCTGCTACGTAAACTATAGGCAAACTTTGAATAATTTTAATTTCTCAAATGAAGCCCTTAAGTAATACTTAATCGCGCTTTTCATGAATCTCATGAGCTGCATATACCCTTAAAAGCCGCATTGCTGGTATATGCCATCCAATCATAACTAACATAAACACAACCATGTGATTAGTATAAACACAAACACATGTTTATAGTAAACAGTCACTTGACCGTTACTACATCATGTGACCAATAACTTTAATAAATATATTTATTCTGTATGAACTAATTTTCAGAATGCTATATATATATAATTACTCTTAATATATATATATATTAATTTTTATCTGACCTCAAAATTTTTGCGTTCGTATTATGCTATGGCGATGTCTGCGTCGTTGTCCGAAGAAATTTGTCGTCCGAAGACATTTTGGTTCGCAGACAATTAACATGAGTATAAGTGTATGGATCTCTATGAAATAATAGCACAAGGTTTCATACCATAATAGGAAGGTTGGGATTGATTTTGGGGGTTATTGTCGGGTGGTTTAGTAATTAAGGGCCAAAAACAAGCATTTTTCTTGTTGTCCGAAGACATTTTGGTTCACAGACAATAACTTGAGTATAAGTGTATGGATCTCTATTAAAAATTTTAGCACTAGGTTCCATACCACAATAGGAAGGTTGGGATTGACTTTGGGGGTTATTGTTGTAACTGTTTAGTAATTAAGGGCCAAAAAGGGGCCAAAAACAAGCATTTTTCCTGGTTCACAGACAATAGTTTGAGTATAAGTGTATGGATCGCTGTGAAATTTTAGCACTAGGTTCCATACTTCAAAAGGAAAGTTGGGATTGATTTTGAGGGTTATTGTCACAGCTGTGAACTTAGCTCATATTGTCCATTAATAAATAAATTAATTAAATTCTTGCTGTACATGGATATGCTGAATCTGTCCAAATTGGGGTTCAAAAATTGATATGAGGTTCTTCGATATGCTGAATCTAACCTTGTATTTAAATTTTGGATTTTCAGGACTCTGTTATCAAATTTGTCCACATTGAGGTCCAAAGGGTCCAAAATTAAACTTTGTTTGATTTCATCAAAAATTAAAGTCTTGTGGTTCTATGATTGCAGAATCTAACTGTTATTCAGATTTTGGATATTGGACCAAAATAGGTAAAAGTCCAATTTCAAATTTTTCAGTTCTTTGACCATATTTATTCTGTAAGAAACCTATGATGTGTCAAATATTTAATCACAATCCAAATTCAGAGCTATATCAATCTTGAATGTAGTGTCCATACTTGCCCCAACTGTTCAGGGGTTTGACCTCTGCGGTCGTATCAAGCTGTGCATCGGGGAGCATTTTATAGATATTAAGTTACAAAATATCAACCAGAATAGCATACGTCAGACAATATGACATTTCTCTTTTGTTAGTAACAGCTGATACACCTACACATTATAATTGTAAACAAAAGTTTATTACAAAAACATTGGTCTATGGATTTTTTAAAGAATTATACTTATTTCAAAAGTACACATGATCACTATCTAAAAAGGATTGATCTAGTTTTAAAAGGATAATAACTATAAGTGAAAAACTTTTATCAAATGACAACATTTCGTAAGATCAAGAGGTGATTTTATTTGGTTGACATGAATTTGAGTTCTGCATGCCGCATCAGGACAATTTTTCACTTGTTGGAATAGTAGACCAGGCTTAAGGGAAATTACTCCATTATTGTCTCCCTATATTTTTATAAGTCCAGATTATCATGTTTTATATAGATCCCTTATTGACGAAATGGTTCTAAGGTTAAATAAAAATAACCTTCCAACACGTCATAATTATATCAGTTTATTTTTATCTGAAATAACAGTTGAAGAATACATTTAGGATTTTTATTATTTTTACAGGTACAGGGACAAATGCATGTTATATAGAAACGTTAGAAAATACTGAATTGTGGGATGGTGATAATGACGAACCACATCAGGTAATTCAAATCATCATGTGCAGAAAAATTATTGTTGAAAGAGTTTCCAAATTCCTTTTCTTTTAATCATTTTTTAATGCACTAAAATATAATTTTGAATAAAGATTTTGCCCTGACTAAAGAAAAAACAGACAATAAAAGTTTTAATATTTTTTTGTACTCAAGACTACATGATTTATTGTCGAGCCTGCGACTTTTATTGCAGAAAGCTCGACATAGGGATAGTGATCCGGCGGCGGCGTTTGCTAACTTCTTAAAAGCTTTATATTTTAGAAGGTGGAAGATCTGGATGCTTCATACTTTGTATATGGATGCCTCATGTTACGAAGTTTCTGTCAGTCACATGTCCAAAGTCCTTGACCTCATTTTCATGGTTCAGTGACTACTTGAAAAAAAGTTAAGATTTTTAAGTAATGTTAAATTCTCTCTTATTATAAGTAATAGGATAACTATATTTGGTATGTGTGTACCTTGCAAGGTCCTCATGCCCGTCAGACAGTTTTCACTTGACCTCGACCTCATTTCATGGATCAGTGAACAAGGTTAAGTTTTGGTGGTCAAGTCCATATCTCAAATACTATAAGCAATAGGTCTAGTATATTCGGTGTATGGAAGGACTGTAAGGTGTACATGTCCAACTGGCAGGTGTCATCTGACCTTGACCTCATTTTCATGGTTCAGTGGTTATAGTTAAGTTTTTGTGTTTTGGTCTGTTTTTCTTATACTGTATGCAATAGGTCTACTATATTTGGTGTATGGAATGATTGTAAGGTGTACATGTCTAGCTGGCAGGTGTCATCTGACCTTGACCTCATTTTCATGGTTCAGTGGTCAAAGTTAAGTTTTTGAGTTTTGGTCTTTTTTTCTAATACTACATGTATATGCAATAGGTCAACTTTATTTGGTGTATGGAAATATTTTATGATGTACCTGTCAGTCTCACAGGTTTTATTTGACCTTGTCCTCATTTTCACTGTTCATTGCTCAGTGTTAAGTTTTTGTGTTTTGGTCTGTTTTTTTTAAACTATAAGCAATAGGTCAACAATATTTGTTGTATGGAAGAATTGTAAGCTGTACATGTCTGCCTGGCATGGTTCATCTGACCTTGACCTTATTTTCATGGTTCATTTGTCCATGTTTAGTTTTCTTGGTTAAGCCTGTTTCTTAGAAACTATAAGCAATAGGTCAACTATATTTAGTGTATTGAATGATTGTAAGGTGTACATGTATTTCTTGTTTGGTTTATATGACCTTGACCTCATTTTCTTGGATCATGTTAAGTTTATGTGATAGTTAACGTTGTAGTAAAGCTTTATATTTAGGACTATCAACATAATATCAATGATTAGTAAAGAAGGCGAGACATTTCAGAGTGTGCACTCTTGTTCACAGTAATGTACTAACAGAAATTAAGTTATTTGGTTAAAGTACTGTGATCTTACATATTACTACAGTGAATTCTCTGTGGCTTTAAAATTGAGAAATCAGATTAAGTGTTTTTAATAAACTCTCAAAACAGTTTTATACACCTTCTTTAGCAGACCGTTCCCAATTTAAATGGTCCTCCGACTTATCATTTTCAATTCCTCATTTCTGCCCCAGCAGATATACAGATGACAAAAGTCAAAATACCTGGCCTTGAAGTCAAAAACAATTCGACCACAATTATCATACTCAGACTCAGAAATTAACCAATCAAAATACTGGCTTTAGTGTTTTGAAGACAAATTTTGTACTCCTAGGACTGAGTAAAGTTTTACGACAGAGGGCCCAGGCCCAGGCCTATGTTACATAGGAATATTATCAGAAAGAAAGAAAAGTTCATGAGAATAATATTTTTTTTTCAATTTTCCAGGTAATGATCAATACAGAATGGGGAGCATTAGGGAATGATGGTAGTTTAGATTTTATAATGACAGATTATGACAAACAAGTTGATAAGCATTCAATCAATGCTGGTCAACAAATGTAAGTATAAGAAAATATAGTGTAGTGAACATTTCTGAATTTACAGTATAAACGCATTGAAATTTAAAGTTTATAAATTGGGGAAAATGAAACATAAAGGATTAAGTATGAAGTTATGTGAAAACTGTTTTGATACATTTCTCTGCTTTATACAGAGAGAAGAAAAAATACAAGATTTCATATCGCACAATTAAATATTCAGAAGAAAAATGATGAAAAGATTAGAGCTTAAAGTATGTACTGAAGTGTGAATAATTTAAGGAATATTTATTTTTTTCTTTCCAATGTAAGTTTTGACATGTTAAAGCTCAGAGACAAAATTTATATTCTATTTATTTTTGTTTGTTTGCAGATACGAAAAAATGATCTCAGGAATGTACATGGGAGAGATTGCTAGACTTGTGATAGAGAAACTGAGGAAAGCCAAACTGTTGTTTAATGGAAAAGGTTCTGAAGAATTATCAGAGAGAGGCCGATTCTATACCAAATATGTGTCTGAAATTGAAAGGTATGTTTATTGTATCATGTCTTATTTAGTTTCCATTAAGAAGAAGAAACAGATGTAATATATGAGCATAGCATAGCATACTAGGAACATTAGTTAATTTCACATTCATTGTTAAAGACTTGTTCCCCTTTGTTACACTGCAAATTACTGTAATGTTAGCCTTGGCAGGGGTAATAATGTTCCCCAGTTTACCTAAATCAAGTTAGGCATTATTTCGTCTTAAGGAATAGTACTACTCGCAATTATTTCAACAATTATGAAAATTACAATCATATTCTTTTCATCACATTTATAATTCAACGTTTTTTTTTGTATTTCAGTGACGGTGACGATAGCGATTTTAAGTGTACAAAACAAGTATTTGCAGAATTAAATTTACATAAGTATACTGATGAGGACTGTAAAATTGTACAGTATGTGTGTTCACTGGTGTCAACTAGAGCTGCTTATCTTGCCAGTGCAGGTAAATAAATAAATAATGAAATAGCTTACAGCACAAACTCCTCATGTGTTAACCGGTTCCTTTGGAAATTTTCATGTCTTCTTTGATTATGACAAAAATGAAAAACAAAAACTAAGTTATTTGAATCTAAATTGATTAAGTTACACAACACTTTATTCACCTAGCTTTCCCTTACTTTTACCGAGTTTCACCTCAGCAGCCAACCATTTTTTTAAAGCTCTTTGGCAAGGGTTTTTTAATTTGTTGCTTTAAGGATACGCTGAATTTATTTTTTGATGTTTTCTGAAGAAAAAAAGGTGTAGTTTGATAGTTTTTTAATCCTGGCTCTACAAAACACATTATCAAATGTGCCTAAAAATATCTGCATAGTTCCATTTACTTTCAAGTTGTGTGTTATTCTATATATAAACAGAAATGATTACACGTTCGTAAATATGAATATTTCTTCATGATTTCATTCTTTTTTTTACAGGAATTGCAACATTACTAAATAAAATGAATCGACCAGAGGTAACAATAGGTGTTGATGGATCATTGTACAGATTTCATCCTCATTTTCATGATCTCATGGAAGAAAAAATCAGACAACTAGTCAATCCCGGTATTAAAGTGAGTATTAGAAATGATTGTTATACCCCAACTCTAAGAGTGAAGGCTATATTGCATTCTCCTTGTCAGTCTGTCCGTCCATCTGTACATTTTACCAACCTATTTTAGTAACACTTTTCTTAGGTACTACCTACAGAATGATTTCATAATTGGTCAGCAGCTTGAAGGAATGAGTTGAAAAGCGTGAGCATATATGTCAGACACCTACTTCCTGTTTGCCAATACTTTGAATTTTTCAATATGTTGAATGAACTTTAAAGTTTCTATCACACATTTCTCCAGTACAACTGAAAAAAATTTCTTTGTATTTGGTCAGCAGCTTGGCAGTGATGAGATGTAACATGTGAGCCCTTTTTGAATCTGTCAGACACCTACTTCCTGTTTTCCCATGCTTTGAATTATAAATGAGGTATGGTTAGCATGACAATGCTTGAATATTTGTTTTCATTCTGCTACTCAGTAAGTGAAATTTTATGTATATTGGAACACATGGTCCAGTGTAGTAATTGGTTAAAAATGATCAGATGATCAGTGTAGTGATGTGATTGTTTACATTGGGAAAGTAAGATTAGTCATGAAACAGTCTTGTGAAGATAATGTTATATTTTGATTGTTGCAGCAAAGAAGAATAATTGTGACAGACACAATTTTAACAATAATTAAATCTGCGACAGTTGGGTCCTCTTCTGGCTATAAACATTTCCTAAAAACAAGGTCTATCTTTTTATTGTTTTGTCTTAAATCAGGCTTGTTTTAATTGTTTCACATTTTGTCATGTCTGGGCCTTTTAGAGATGACTATGCAGTATTGGTTTTCCTCATTGTTAAAGGCTGTATATTGAACTATAATTGATTAAATCCACATCACATCTCCTTATGTTATACTCTTTGAGAAATTAGAACCTGGAAAGAGTACAATATCTTATCAAAATATTCAAAGTACTTGAAATGTCCTCACAAATTTTTAAATAGGCTGCAATTAGAACAGATTGCTCTATTCACCTTCAAATAAACTTTTTTGTTTGGTTTCTGTCTCATTGACATATACCTCACATCTATGTTTATTCATATTTTTTATTACACAACCAAAAAAGTGTATTATAACAAAGAAATACATTGTTTCCCTTACTGGTAAGTGTATGTATCTGTTAAATATATGAAAACCTAATCTTTTCATCTTTAATTTTCAGTTCAAATTGATGTTGTCTCATGATGGTAGTGGTAAAGGAGCAGCCATTGTTACTGCTGTAGCTAACAGATTAGCACTAGAAAAAGAACAAAAACTGAATGCAAAAAATGGTATACCAAATGGAGAATAGGATTCACAATAAATAGTAGCATATCAGACAGTCGGGGATAAAAAATGGGACACGCTAAAGTTCCGCATCACTGAGCACAAAATTTTTATCTACAAAAGCCATTAACAGCTTTATTTATAGAAAAAAGACAATTTTGCTTAATCTGCAACGTTTGTAAGATCAGTTTAAATTCCGATGCATTAAAAGTGTAAAATAAGGATAATGTTCTTTAGGGACATGACCCGGAGCGAGCTCTCCATATTGTTATCTAAGTGAGAAGGAAGTTACCTGGTGCATATGTGTATGACAACAGAGTGATTGATGTGTATGTGGTTATGTTTGGATGAATGGATTATATGTAAACAGAAATGGAAGGATCGTGAAGAATAAATGATTGTTTTATAATTTGTGCAATTATTTAAAGATGGTGTTATTTTTGTGTAATGTTGAATAGTTTAGTAATATGTTTGTCTTGTTTACTAGTTTAGTTTGAACTTGAGTTCGACCTGGAAAAAAAGTTTTGATGAATAAATTTTGAAATTGATTTGTGGTTTTTGTTTGGAAGGAATTATTTGCATGTACAGATTTTATTAAGTAAGAAGTTTTTATCACTACCTGTTCGATGCAATATTGATCATTTGGCTTATTGTGAATTTTTATTTTTAGAGAATATATCTCCAAAATAACCTAAGTGGATGTAGTTTTAACCAATTCTTAACATTCACACATTTTCAATGACTTATTATTAAGAAAAAGTATTAGAAAATCAGCCAACTTCGCTTTCATGTGTGGAATCAATTAGCTATTTTCTGATCTGTATTTTTGAAGATGAAATGTGTAGTACTTGTGTCGTAGGAAAGGAAAGATAACTCTTGTGAACATTTAATGCTATCAGTTGGTGTAGAAATGGGCTTAAATCTAATAATAAACTGTTTCAAGTACCCTATTCCTGTTGTAGATGCAAACATTCCAACCATTTTGTAAACATTCAGTCATATTTTTATTTTTCCATCATACCATATTAAATTTTTATTTTTCAATGACTTTCTTACATCAGTAATAGTGAAACATGAAAATTTACATGCAGCATACCTCATGAATGTTCTCCAAAGATTTTTTTCCCCATTTTAAAGGCAGCTGTATTCTATATGTTCATAATATGGCTGGATAACAAATAAATAATGACGAATTGTTAGTTGTTGGTCAGTAATTAAAATTGCAATCCAAACTTATATAATAACGAAATTAAAATTTTATTAAATAATATGAAAGATGCATGTGTGATTATCTAATTATATGATCTAGTTTTTGTTTATCTGTTGAAAAATAATTACCGGTATCTGATGTTACCATGTCTTTCAGAATTTTTAACATGTAAATAATTTTGTTTTATTATTATTATGTACATTTGCATAAAATATAAGATGGGGTATTGATAAAGATTATAAAAGAGCATCAGTAACCATTTTCACAAAAAAATATATCTTAGTCATGAACAATATATAGAATCTTATGCATTCTGGGTAATATTTTCAAAAGCATACACCAAAACACTGGTTGGCTAATAAGGTCCCAAACAAATTGAAATTCAACCAATGACGTAACGTTGTTTTTGTTTTGGTGTACACACAATTAAATTACCCATAGTCCTTTAGACTCTAAAACGGTGAATTCAGTATAAACTGCTGTCAATTTTAGTCTTAAGATATTGTGGGAAAACTCCGACAGATTTTAAAGTTTTATAAGTTTGGTCACGTTCACATTGTTATACTTGACTGGGATAAAGATTTTTATTTTCATTTCCTGGAGAATTTTTTTCTTTTTTTACGAATTCTGCTGCTTTATATTAAATATACTGGTTTGAATAGAGGCAACATAACAATGTTCAAATCTCATAAATCAAAGTAAAAACTGAGACAATTGCATGCCAATAGCAGCAAGGCCAAACATGTCAACAAGGTTTCAATTATATTTCTTCAGTAACTGTTAATAAATTATAGTTATAATAATATATGTTCTCTGAAAGTTTGAGGAAATCCAGTCACTATTTGAACAGGAGTTGTGTATAAAATGTGTAGACAGATGAATTTATGGACAAACCAATGGACACAACAATCATTATATACCTATGCTTTAGTTAGACTTAGTATAAATATAAATATTGGAAAGAACTCGGAAAGCTTTTTTCATAGTAGCACTTATATATATCTATAGTGATCAATATAACATTGACATTAATTATTATGTTACCAATTGTCTGAACGCTTAACAGCCAGTCAGTGTGGTTATACCCCCTCAAAGAAGTAAATTGCATAATTCTAAATCACCAGTGTGCATTAATTGCTTAAAAGTTTAACTGGTGTTATTCTTATCTTTCTTGTCACAAGAAAACTGTAACCCAGTCTATTTATTCTTCTTCGTCATGCACTTGCATAGAATCATTTGTAATAAATACCCTTGCTTTACATTTTTGCAAAGAAAATCCATACCATTTTTTCATTTTTTCAATTTACATTTTTTTTAATGGATGAACTTAGACATTGATGAATTTTGAATATTAATAAAGTTTTCAGAAAAGTTTGTTATTCACAGCTTGCCCCTCAATATGGAAGAATCTCAATTTAGTTAATTTTTTCTTTATTGTTTATTATGACAAATGTTTTAAATCAAATTGTAACAGATTTAGTGTAGTTTCCTATGTATGGGAACAATTTTCAGATTGTACAAGATTGTTTACCCTTAAAATTTTTCAAAATATTTATTTTAAAGTATTCATGTTTGGTTTTTGGAGACTTTATTCCATCATGTTATAAAAAAAGTTTGTGTATTATGCATCAACTAATTGAATAAAAACACATTGCATTTACCTAAAAAAAATTCATTTAATCAAATTGTAGAATAACTTTTAAAGTTGAAATATTTGTCTATCTGACTGATATATATGATAAAAAATAATATAAGTCTTATCAATAATCTTTTTCATGTAACACTTTCATCATAACTCCAGTTGTGACATTTAAATACCAATTGATGAAAATAAAATAAAAGTTCAGTTATTCTTTAGTTCTTATCTCAATACCATATAATTTATTTTAAAAAGGGAATTTTTCTTTATGCAACTTTAAAAAAAAAAAACACTTTTATTCAACAGATTGTTGAGTTTGATATATCTATTGGGCCGTTCTACCAAATCTATGCCAAATTTCTCTCAATACCAAATGATTTACTTATAAAGAATATTTTCCTTTACGTAACATTTTTTAAAACTTTTATTAATTGTTGACTTTGAACTTTCTATTGGGCAGTACAGCAACATTTTTGCCAAATTTCTGATCTCGCATTTCATATCATTAAGTCATGCCTAAGAGGCACAGTATGCAAATTTTACGTAGAAATCCGAACTGCTTACAGTTGTTGTGTGATACCATAGAGTTATTGTTCTTACTGTAATATAGTGGTTTTGTTTAAGGTTTCTAGAAACGTTCAATAAGATTTGAAAAAAAAAGTTTACATCAACTTAAACAAATAAAATATCTTGATCATTTATTCTACTTATGTTTTATTATTATGGCCATTCTATGTACAGTGCAACCTGCTGAGGGCTGGTTTTATTTACAGTACAACCTGTTTAAGCTGGTTCTATATACAGTGCAACCTGTTGAGGGCTGGTTTTATATACAGTACAACCTGTTTAAGCTGGTTCTATGTACAGTGCAACCTGCTGAAAGCTGGTTTTATATACAGTACAACCTGTTTAAGCTGGTTCTATGTACAGTGCAACCTGCTGAGGGCTGGTTTTATATACAGTACAACCTGTTTAAGCTGGTTCTATGTACAGTGCAACCTGCTGTGGGCTGGTTTTATATACAGTACAACCTGTTTAAGCTGGTTCTGTGTACAGTGCAACCTGCTGAGGGCTGGTTTTATATACAGTACAACCTGTTTAAGCTGGTTCTATATACAGTACAATGTTTTAAGCTGGTTCTATACACAGTACACTAGGATTGCCAGTTTTCCTATCGAAGGTCGGTGGGGTTTTTTCCGGGCACTCTGGCTTCCTCCACCAATAAAAACTGGCCGCCACGAAATAGCCCAAATGTGGCGCTTAAAAGTGGCGTTAAAACACCAACAATCAATCAATCAATATACAGTACAACCTGTTTAACCTGAACATCTGCTGCATAATCTGGAACTTGTGTAAACTGAATTTTTCTATGGGGATACACAATAAATATTCTATAATAGTAATTTAACCTGTGTAAATCAAAGTTGGTGTATTGTTAATGCCCTCTTGGAAATCTTTCAACCTTATCTGAGACAGCAACAGGTTGATGAGATGTGAAGATGGACGTGCTTTGTGCTAGACTGACATACTTAGTCATTTAAAAAAAAACGTTAATTGACAAGCAAGCAGTTCAAAGAAAAAATGTTGCCCAAGTCACAATTATAGTTTTAGTCCTAACTGAATAATCTCCTACTCTGTAATATCAATTCTTCAGTATTTTGTTTGACCGGGCAAGAGATTGGTCAGGATCAAAAAGCATGATTTCATCCATTTAACCATTAAAGGTCAACAATGGTCTTCAACAAATGACAGGTGTCTATACAATATGTAAAGCACTGATTTACCCAAAGTCTTAAAAAGTAGTGTATAAAATATGGCAACAAATCAAAGATCAGCCATCAACACTAAGTTCTCAAAATGTCAAAAAACATTTAGATACATGTTTTAAAAAAATAGCCACTGACAAGGTTTCTGACTAACTACATATACATGAACTTATGGCGGAGTTAAAAAAAGATTTTTTTAATCTTGATCAGTGGACTAAAAAAATGTACAATAAAGAACATACACAAAAAAAATATCAGTGAAGGAAAAGCACTTTTAAAATATATCTATTTATTGTTGTTAAAAAAAAAATTCATAATTTATCACTCTTAAAAAGGGCATGCAACACCCTATGCTACAAGCTAGGCACTACGAGCCACCATAAAAATTGCAATGCTTTTTAGCTCACCTGGCCTAAAAGGCCAAGTGAGCTTTTCTCATCACTTGGTGTCCGTCGTCATAGTCGTCGTTAACTTTTACAAAAATCTTCTCTGAAACAACTGGTCCAAATTTTACCAAACTTGGCCATAATCATCATTGGGGTATCTTGTTTAAAAAATGTGTCCGATGACCCCGCCAACCAACCAAGATGGCTGACATGGCTAAAAATAGATCATAGGGGTAAAATGCAGTTTTTGGCTTATATCTCTGAAACTAAAGCATAAAGAGCAAATCTGACTAGGGTAAAAATGTTTATCAGGTTAAGATCTATCTGCCCTGGAATTTTCAGATGAATCAGACAACCTGTTGTTGGGTTGCTGCCTCTGAATTGGTAATTTTATGGAAATTTTGTAGTTTTTATTAATTATCTTGAATATTATTATAGATAGATATAAACTGTAAACAGCAATAATGTTCAGCAAAGTAAGATCCACAAATAAGTTAACATGACCAAAATGGTCAATTGACCCCTAAAGGAGATATTGCCCTTTATGTCAATTTTTAACAATTTTTCGTAAATTTTTGTAATCTTTTACTCTGAAACTACTGTGACAAATTTTACAAAACTTGGCCATAATCATCATTAGGGTATGTAGTTTTAAAGATGTGTCCGATGACCCCTTCTGCCAACCAACATGGCCGACATGGCTAAAAATAGAACATGGGGTAAAATGCAGTTTTTATACTCGGTATGACGTTGGCGTGGTCGTCATCATCGTCCGAAGACACATTGGTTTTTGCACAATAACTTTAGTTTAAGTGAATGGATCTCTATGAAATTTTACCATGAGGTTCAATACCATAAAAGGAAGGTTGGGAGGTTATGGTACCAACAGTTAAGGAATTAGTGGCCAAAAAGGGGCCAAAAATAAGCATTTTTCTAGTTCCAGACAATAACTTGTGGAACGGTGTATGGATCTCTCTGAAATTATACCACAAGTTTCCATACCACAAAGGGATGGTTAGGATTTGCTTTGGGGGGTTATGGCTCAAATCGTTTAGGAATTAGGGGCAAAAAAGGGGGGAAAACAAGGGTGTCCTGGTTAATGGACAAATACTATAGTACTAAACATAATTTAAAGCAGAGTAAAGGAGGTAATTTAAATAGATCATTTGAATTACCTCCCTTACACTGCTTTTAAATTATGTATAAAGTAATGGTTAATGAACAATTAAGACAATTTAAAAGCAGTGTAAGGGAGGTAATCCAAATACAACATTTTGATTACCTCCCTTACACTGCTTTTAAATTATGTTTAAAGAAATGCATATTTATAAAGGAAGACCAGTAAACATATCTGCAAATGTTGCATCTTTTTTTTTTACAAAAAAATCCATATGAAAGATTTGACACCATATTTTAAATTCTATTATAAAATAGATTAAGTTAGCACTATGGTAAATTTAAATGGGTATTTATGGTTGCAAACTCTCAAACAAGATAGGACTGCAAACAAACTAAACTAAAAATAAGATGACACTAAAAACAAGATAGAAACACAAACAACTACAAAAATATATAGGAACGCAAACAAACAACACTGAAAACGATCTGAAACAGAAACAAACTACTCTAAAACAAGATATGAACTCAAACAAACTTTTCTAAAATAAGTTAGGAAAGCAAACAAAATACACTGAAAACAAGATAGGGACACAATCAAACTACACAGAAAACTAGATTGAAATGCAAACATACTTCACTGAAAACATGCTAAGCCGAAACAAGATAGAATGGAAACAAAATACACTAAAAACAAGATAGAATGGAAACAAACTACACTAAAAACAAGATAGAATGGAAACAAACTACACTAAAAACAAGATAGGGATGCAAACAAACTACACTAAAAACAAGATAGGATCGCAAACAAACTACACTGAAAACAAGATAGGGATGCAAACAAACTACACTAAAAACAAGATAGGGATGCAAACAAACTACACTAAAAACTAGATAGGGATGCAAACAAACTACACTAAAAACAAGATAGGATCGCAAACAAAATACTAGTACTCTAAAACTACATAGGGATGCAATCAAACAACTCTAAAACAAGATAGGATAGTTACACTGAAAACAAGATAGGAAAACCAACAAACTACCATAATACAAGATAGGATCGCAAACAAACTTCTCTCAAATAAGATATGACTGTAAACTGAACTATGCTAAAAATATGATAAAAAATACACTGAAAACAAATTAGAAATACAAACAACTAAAAAAATAAGGAAAAAAAGGAACACACAATAACACTGAAAACGACAAAGGAACACATTTGGTCTCTTGTGGAGAGTTGTCTCATTGGCAATCATACCACATCTTCTTTTTCATACAAACAAACTACTCTTAAACAAGATAGGAACTCGAACAAACTATTCTTGAATAAGATAGGAAAGCAAACAAAATACACTGAAAAAAAAGATGGGGACGCAAACAACTACACTGAAAACGAGACTGGAATGCAAAAAAAATACACTGAAAACATGCTTGACGGAAACGAGAAAGGAACGCAAACAAACTACACTAAAAACAAGACAGGTATGCAAACAAACTACTTTAAAACTAGATAGGGACACAAACAAACTACCATCAAACAAGATAGGATTGCAAACAAACTACACTGAAAATAAGACGAGAACAAAACAAAAAACTACACTGAAAACAAGATAAGAACACAAACAAACTACCATAAAACAAGATAGGACTGCGAAGATAAGAACAAAAAAATACACTGAAAACAAGATAGAAACACAAACAAACAACTCAAAAAAATATAATGGAACACACACAAACTACTTTAAAACAAGAAACTCCAACAAACTACTCGTAAACAAGAAAAGCAAGCAAGCAAACAAACTACACTGAAAACAAGATGTGAACTCAAACAAATTACTCTACAACAAGATAAGAAGGCAAACAAATAAAATGAAAACAAGGTATGAACACAAAACACTACTACAATGAAAACAAGATATGAACGCAAACAAACTTCAATGAAAACGAGATATGAACCCAAACAAACTACAATGATAGCAAGATATGAACGCAAACAAACTACAATGCAAAAAAAGATATGAACGCAAACAAGCTATAATGAAAACAAGATAAGAAAGCAAACAACTGCAATGAAGACAAGATATGAACGCAATCTGATTAGAATTCAGATCTATCTTAACTCACGTGATCGTATATATAAGCTCATGTAAGGATAGCGAAATCAGAGATCTAAATTTTAATTAGATTTATGTGAACGCAAACTAACTACACCGAAATCAAGATAGAAACGCAAACAAACTTCTCTAAAACAAGATATGACTGTAAACAAACTACACTAAAAGTATGATAAGAACAAAAAAAAAAATACACTGAAAACAAGATAAAAAATACAAAGGTATGCAAACAATAACACTGAAAACAAGATAGGAAAACCAACAAACTACCATAATACAAGATAGGATCGCAAACAAACTTCTCTCAAACAAGATATGA